GATTTTTCACGCCCCTTATGTTATAATATAAGCTCTAGACAGTTTTAAAAAGAGACAGTTGTGTCAGGGGTTTAAACTGAAGCATGCACTGGCTCCACTTGAAACTTTGCACATCTATTTGTAAGACGATTTTTACATTTTTATGCTCAAGTCATCCCACATTGTGCTTATGCTTCACTGGTTCTGTGTTTGATGCTGTACTTGTTATGCATGTATAACTCCACACTGTCTCTCACTTGATTGCTATGTTACAGCACATGCAGCTGTTTGTAGCGGGCAAGTCAGTACTCTTATTGGGGATACTGGCAAAATGACGTGTTTTAGAAGGTGTTATTCATCAAGTATGGTATACCCTTTAAGTCTACTTGTGCAGCAGTGGGGCAGAGATTCTGCAAAATTGGCTGAAAGGCTCAGATGCATGTCATCCCAAAATCTCTTTCACCTATACGCGTCTCCTCCCTTTCATCAGCTTTGTAAAATAGGGAATAATCATGGAAAAGGTCAATAGGTCATTCTGGAGTGGCGTCTTCACTGAACACTCGCGGTTGTGTTTTGCTGAAGTAAGACTGTAATTGCATAGAAAAAAGAGGGCACCCTTGCATAATGCATCAAAGCCTGCATGAAATGTAAAATATTCGCATATTTTATGGCCCAAAACAAACTCTGCTTGTGTACAGATTCTAAATATATGAGCAACATGCATCTATTTATTTTCACGAATCCCAAATAATCTACAAGCACTGTAGTTGATTTAACCAAACTACACTGCAACTGTAATATTCTAGCTTTTGCATGTTCACAATATCAGCATTAAAAAAAAATGCTGCAGGGCATGTGGTCAGTGATTTTGCTGTGTATTTTAGTCAGTGCAGTCTTCCAGAGATTTTAACTGCCTTTTTATAATTGCAAGGGTCAGGTTGGCTAGGTTTCCCAATTTACACCCAGTCATTACCACTTTACCCATCATTAAAAAAGACATCACTCTTATTGGTGTGATAAAAGCTCCCTTCAAGGCAAGCAATTAACGCACTAGAAAACGCTCCTCATCCTCCGTTTCTTTCCTCCTCTTTTCACCCGCTCTTTCGGCCTCTGTTAAGAGTTCAGAGGTTTCTGTGATGTAAGCCTTTTTAATTGTCTCCCGGGGAGACGGGTAAAAAATTTTTTTATCTGTTTCGAACAGTACAGCATGACATAGCCATACTACGTGAGCAGATGTGCTAAGCCTTTGTCGAGGTGTCATTTGTGTCCACCGTAGTTCAGCTCCTCGTTGTTAATTGCTAAGAGCCGACTGGCTGATAAATGATTTATTTGGCAGAGCAGGAAGTCTCTTTGTCCCATATTTATCTCTGTGCACAGAGAAGAGTATGGGAAATGTAATTTTTTATTACTCATTAAGACACAGTTAATCTCCATTTGAAAATATGTGTTTAGCAGCATTTAAAATTGCAAACGAAGCAAGACTGGAACTGCCAAATCCTGATTAGCCCAAGAATTCAATATCCACTTACTAGGAAGCGTCATTTCTCAGACCTGTCGCGAGCATTATATCACACCGGGCGTTCGGTATAAAAGACAGGCTCGATGCAGTCAGCAAAATCTGCATCAGAGAGCGTGATGAGTGCTCGTGTGGGCAGTGCATTTTGTAGGCAAACGAGAATGTTATTTTTTAACAGATTGTGTGAGGCGGGTAGTTTGACATGCTTGTGAGGAGCTAGAAGAGCTGTCAGGTGTTGTCAGATGAAACGACTCTTTCTCCCTCTCATTGCATTTCTCTTTCACCAGATATGAGGAATGTTTCAAGGCCATGTAAACTATATATAGTGGTCTTATGTAACTGTGGGTCACAAAGCTGCAGTTTGAAGAAAGGCAAGTACAGATTGTTAGAATTTGACAATAGACTGTGTAGAAAATGACTTATTATATGCTGGACAAATGCTGGATATGTCCCATATGCTTTTTAATTCTCTGTGGTTGACCCTATTTCGTTGCCCTGCTGGTGTAAACTTGGTCCTTTTAAGCATGCCTGTTGCATGACTTCATGTAGTATTGAATGTACGCATTTAAAGAGGCCAGATGCCTTACAGCAGTAGGAACGCATTTGAAAATGTCAGCTGTCAGCTAAAATATATTAATATTTTTTCATATTCTGTGCATACAGTGCATTTGTGCATACTCATACATGCTGCTTCGGGCTCTTTAGATGATAACATTTAGATTTTTGAAATATTTAACTTCATAGTCGCAGAAGAAAACAAAAAGGACCTCCCAGAGCTGAAGCTCACTGTATCTGTGCAGCAACAAGACAGTTTTGTACACAAAGAGTCAGCTGAATACCACATGATGAACATGGAGTTTGTCAGATAATTATGCAGATAAAGCCTAATGCATGTTGTCTTTCTTCACTATTGTGCCAAGTCAGATTAAAAGTGAAATAGTAAACGCATCCTTTCATGTGTCATGTTATATAATTGCATCTGTGGGTGGTAATGTGTGTTTCTGCGTTTGCTTTGGGATGTACGTCTTTGTCTTTCAGCTTTCAACAAACGACCTGTGCTCATACGTATGTCACACACGTAGATACTTTTATTTAAGCATTTAATACTCTGGTTATGCTTTGGACTGTTTTTCTTTTTTTACCTGGACTGTAGCTATTTTCAGTCCCTCAAATCATTAACAGTTGATACTGCTGGTGCTTCAATTATTTAGCCATCTAGGTTCTGACAGCTCTGGCTTTACCCCTTAAAACCTAGAGATTTTGAGATTTCTACATCAGTGTGATTTTAGTTATCCTCCTGAAAATTCTAAATAAATTGCACAATACATGTTCAGAGTGCAAAAAAATTGCCAGCTGTTGCAAATATGATACAAATGAAGACTCATATACAATCTTACATTTGTTCAATATTTACAAAGGTATTAGTAGGTTCAGTAAACACTCCATTTCCAAAACAATCTAATTTAATGGTTCACGCTTTAAAGGGTTGAGTCTTTGCAAGATCTCCTGAAGTGTATATAGTGTCGTTTTTCCAATATTTAACCATCACAAACCTTAAAGCTGGGGAGGACAGTTTGAGTTGAGTTGATAACTCGTAACTAATTCTAGTAATTTGAAAAATTGTCTTATTTTTGTGACAGGTGGCTTTTCAGAGAACACAGTCGCACAAAGTTGACACCTAAAGGACATTTTAACAAAAGCTCAGTGCATGTTCAGCCTTATCCGAACACATTCTGCAAGGTTAGACTCACATTTACAGATGTAACCTTCACCCCTCTCACTTGTGATTGGTACATTCCTAATTCCAGCGTGCAGCCTTCTGCTGTGAATCGTTGGGCTGCTACAGTAGCTGACACCTCTGATTTGCTGCCAGGCCTAGTCGTGACCCATTCACTCTATTAAAGAGTGTGTGCGTATTCATGTGGGTATCTGCACACATTCCTGCCTGTCTAAGCAATTTGTCTCTTGTTCCTTTCATGTGACTAATTGACAGAAAACAGTAAAGCAGGTAAATAATAATGGCAGCTCGCTGTTTTGTCACATTAGTTAAGGATGTGTTTCAATGTGGAATCAGTCAAAAAGAATTATTCACATCAATTAGGGCCGTTTACTACACCATTACAGTCTACGTGGGGTCTCTGAAGCTGGAACGTTAAGCCATTTTTGGAATGAAAAATGTCCTGTTTTCTGGTAGAGTTTAGACTGTGAATGACTAAGCAGGAGGCAAAAAGCCCTCCTACAGAGCTTTGCCTTACATGTTGGTGTGCAGTTGCCTGGTTACATGTGTAGCTAGGAAAACTGATTAAATGTTTGTTGATACTCTCACTTAATTCAATATTCTACTGGTTACTGACAGAAACACTGACCAGAGCATTAATGTGTGCCATCTTAATTCATGTGGACAACGCAACCATTTAATTTCAAGGCTGGGGATCTATTCTCGGCTACTCAGGGAGGAGAGGGAAGCGGTTTCCTGCTCATGCTATATACAGTGGGAACAGAGTGTTGATGACCTCAACGGTGGATATAGTAAGGTGGTGGAAAGAATACTTCCAGGATCTCCTTGATCCCGCTGACATGCTTACTTTAGTGAAGTCTGGGGACGAGGGGTCGCCCATCACTGTGGACAATGAAGTAGCCAAAAAGCTCTCCGGTGGCCTAGGCCCTGGGGTGGATGTGATTTCCCCTGAGTTCCTCAAGGGTCTGGATGTTGTTGGGCTGTCGTGGTTGATACGCCTCTGCAGCATCACGTGAAATCAAGCCTCTGGATTGTCAGACTGGGATGACGGTTTAAGAAGGGGACTGGAAAGGGTGCTCCAAGTTCAGGAGCATTGCACTCCTGCTCTCTGGGAAGGTCTACACTAGGGTGCTGTAGAGGCGAGTCTGCCCGTTAGTTGAACTTTGGGCCCCAAGAAGAACAAAGGGGTTTTTTTGCTCTGGTTATTGAACACTGGATCATCTCTTTATACCCTTGAGGTTGTCTAAGAGTGCACAGGAGTTTGCCCGCCTAACCTATATGTGTTTTGAGGATGTGAAGAAGGCATTCGACTGTGTTCCTTAGGGCATCCTGTGGGGGTTCTCTGGGAGAATGGATGACTGGCCCATTGTTCTTGGCCATCCAGTTCCTGTACAGGAACTGGATGGCCAAGAACAATGGTGGCAGTAAGTCAGACCCTTTCCCAGTTAAAGTTGAGAACCAGAGGGAGAAATTGCTTCCCCAAGTGTAAGAGCTAGAGAATCTCAGGAGATTGACAGATGGATGCAGCAGTGAAGCAGAACCTGTATCAGTCTGTTGTGGTGAAGAGAGAGCTCAGCATGAAAGCAAGGCTATCGATTTAGCGGAGAGTCTATGTTCTTATCCTGACTTGGCCATGAGCTTTGGGGAATGACCAAAAGAATGAGATTAGACTGAAAATGAGAGAAAAAGCATCCAGTGAGAAAAAAAAACACTTTAAAAGACCCTTGGAAAGCCTGAAGAACTGTTGCTCAAGATTATATTAAAAAATGACAAGAAAGTCTGAGTCCTTGGAAGTAAAATATAAAGAAATGAGCGTAGCTCAAGACTCAATAATATGTTAAATAGCCCAGGAGAAGTCAGTGAAAAAAATCTACAGCACAACACGTTCCTGCCTCATACACAGTGTTTTATTGTTTTCATTTTGTCTGAGAGGCCCCTCATTAGATACCCATCAGCGACTGAGGCTGCTGCATCATTGCGAACACTTATTTGATTACAAACCAGTGAAAACTAGTTTCTGCGTGCTCGCCAGCTGTGAATGCCTAGTGAGTAAAGTAACAGTTGTGTTTGTATGCCAGTACATTGGCATATTAGCAGAGACAAATTGACTGTAAATATTTTGAATCTGTGACGGAGACTTGTGATTTATGGGGAGGGAAAAGAGCTGGGAATGAGACATCTGCCCGAAACTTGATCCAAAATTTGGGCAGTGCAGATGTAACAGGTTCTGTAGAAGAGGATTTAATTTTGTTTCCATACAGCATCCCTATCCAAGATGCTTTTAAGTATAGCATTCCAGTCCATTTTAGTCACACACACTTTCTCCATACATGTACTCCATTTTTCTCTGTTCCACCTCATATTTATTCTCTGCACAGTAACATTTCAGAATACTGAATCTAAAGGTTTTTTTCAGTTGAAAGTAAACAAAAAACCACAAAGAAATCAATTGCCCACTGTAAGATTATGAAAGCATGAAAATAACGTGGTAAACTCCCCCACGCAGCGTGTACTCCACAGTGTAGCCCACACGGCAACGCGGCCCTCTCGCGAAAACATTTCAGGAGCAGTAGCAAAATGCTCCAAACGTTAATGTGTCACAAAAGCCGCACAATGATTCAATATCATTTTCCAAATGAATTTCCCTGGTTGGTAATAGAATGGGCCACACACACTTTATAACCATATTCATCAGTTTTCCACGGTTCAGTTAGGTTTCTGTGTAAATTAGGGCCAGCAGCAAACGTGGAGCGTTTTTGGAGGGGAAAAAAATGTAATATTGCAGGAAGATAAATAGGCTTGTTCTTCAAAATATCAGAGACGGTGAAAGAGCTGCAGTTGCAATCTGAATCTCGTGTCCTGAAGCCAAAAGTTCTCAATAAAACACTTTTACACTGCAAAAGCACCGCTATGATTAAAGGCTGTAGGAGGCTGAAAATTACATTTAAAACGTGCTGTGGATATGCAAGACACCTAACACATGCACACAGTTTTGTCGTTTTTGAACTCTGCTATATCCTAATCAGATGACACGTTTTATTTATTTATTGTCATGTATGTTATGTACTATAAACAGCAGATAAGATGAAACTGCTTCAAAGCTGTTAGCACTTGACTGAGAGGAACTTCATGAAGCCGCCACAGTCGCTTTTTAGACACGAAAGAAGAAGTAAATTACAAACGAGACCCGTAGAGAGTTGCATGCCTGTGTACATGTGGGAGTAGTAAGGGTGGTAACACTGAGCTTGAGCTGTTTAAAGATAAAGGAAGTAACAGCGAAGCCTGCAGAGTGCATGCACATGTGTAAATCAACCAACAATGCAACTTAGATTATTAGAAGCCAGCAGTCATTAAACAGCATCAGAATACAAACAAATCATCCAGTCATGGTGAGGTCACACTTGAGCCACATAGAGAGAGAAGGTAGTCATTATTTGTGTTTTATTTACATCACGGAGGCTGCCTTTGGCGGAAACCTGAACACTTGAGAGATATAGCGAGGCGCACAGAATCTAAAAATACCACGGCTGAGGGAGCAGGGCTTAAGAAGAAGAATAAGAAGCAGTGGCTGTCTCTACTGTCAGCCCTGCCTCTTGGTGTTCAGGCTGTGTGTTGCTGTCTCAGAATGAAATATTAGGCCTTTATAAGCAAACGGAAACAAATCCATGTGAGACCAGACGGCTAATTTAACGTGACAGATGAAACAGGGAGGGTTTTACATCAGATATATTGAATGTTTGATCTGTTTAGCTAGTCAGTGTGATGTAAAGTGTGCGAAACGGCCATAATGAGATCGTGGATGGATTCTTTGAGCTCTAATCAAAATAACAGAGGAGGGGGGGGGGATCATTTGTGCTTTGAGTTTTATTCATGGCTGAAAAATGTCACCAGTGCTTTGTTATGACGAACTAAAATGCAGCTTTTTTTTAAATATCTGTAGTGTCTCGGAGTAGATGAAACGGTTATTTTCATAAAGGTAACACAGACTTTGACATCAAATAGGAATACTGCACTTCAGTTTTACATTATGTGGCATCTCCAGCACTGCCGTTAAGGTCGTGCCCTGTAGCCATGCCCCTGTTCTCCTGTCATCTCTCTCCAAGAAAAGCTGGAACACAAGGATGAAAACGTTTCCCACCCACACGTTCTGCATCTCGCTGCCACTCCTGCATTCTCTTCATGTCCTCCTGTGTATCACTCTGCTTTTCTAGCGCCTCACACTCATGCAAACGCATATATAGAAGCCTCCGAGGACCGGTGCATAAACGATGGCTCCAGTCCCAGGCAGGCCTCACAGGCAAGCTGGCTAGCAAGTCCACAGACGCCTTCATCCGTTTACCCGTTCATCTGTCCATTTTAGGCTTCAAACCTAACCCCCTCTTCACTGGCAAAGCCCAAAGGCAGCACCTGATGTGTGAAGCGCACACCAAAGTGTAAATGAGTGCCTCAGCCGGGACTTGAATTGGCTGCTGATGATTTACAAAAAGACATATTTCCATTTGAAAAGGTTTCTTTAAGAGTTGCTTATCATCGCTGCTACTGTGTTTGTGCTCCGTCTGAATGCTCTTTTTACCTAAGGAGTCTCACCAAAGAGAATTCTGAAAGCTCTCTGATTAAAAAACCCTATTTTAAAAATGTGAGCCCAGTTTAGCACTAAGCCTCAAAACAGATCGAGCTAACCAAGTCTGCATGACTTGCTTTCTCGAAATAGGGTGTGAGAAAATGAATGTTTGGTCACATCTAGAGCTTGATTTTAATCCTAAAGACTTTAATTGCCCTCGGTGGCACGTCGGCCTCTTTAGTTTTCACCTGCAGACACTTCTTAGCTACTTCTAGCTGCTAAAAAAAAAAGGGGCACAAAAATAGTGCACTTCCATATTTGGGTGCACGTTTACATGCCATATAAAAGAATACCGCACACTTGTAAACATAATGCAAATAAAGTGCAGACTGTGTTTTTATCACAGTAGTGGAGTTTATTGTCAATAAGGAGTAGGTACATTAAAAACACACACATAGAGACTCACACGCACAGTCGCCCACACAAGCATCCACACACACACATGCGTGCAGCCACACACACCCTGACACACCAGCCCCTTTTCCTGTGGGTTCTGCTTCCTGCATTTTGTAGAGCACGAACAGATGTTTCTGTAGCTCTGAAAGCAGATGATTTGAAATTCACACATCGTATTGAATCTGAACAAGAAGACTGAGTCTCTGTGGATTTGCTTTGCACACCGGAGAACCGAGAAAGAGAGCAAACTTTTTGGAGCACGTGATTTAAAGTGCGCTGTTTCCTCCTGTGCAGCTGAGAAAGAGAAAGCGTGTGAGGGGATAGTTACACTTTTCTTGGCCCTTTTTTTGTTTTTGAACGATGATTGTGGAAACCGATGCGCCGTCAGGTAGTAAAGTCGATGTTGCACTTCATGTTCATGTCATAATCTGCTGCAGGAAAATGATTGATTAAGATGTTTGGAGATTGTGTCGTTTTAGATTGCAATGACGCAAGTGCCACAGAATCCATTTCTTTAAATAAAATCGTTATATTACTCGACATCATATGCTATGACTAACATAATGCTGTTGGCTCAGCTCCCATGAATCATCCCCACGAGCTCACCTTTGCACGCGTGAATCATCTGATGCCAGCATGCACATTTGTATACTATGTCCGTATGTGCGGCACGGCTTCAGAAATTTGTTGGGACTTAATGACTTGTGCTCTTCTACTAAACTCATCAGCACAAACTTAATCCTGCAGGCTAAATGAGCGAGAGCTAAAAATAGTCCCTGCAGCTACAGTGCCATGCGTAGCAGGATACGGTTGTCTGGTATATAGCAGTGATGGAAGAAGACCGGTGGGGGTGAATGGAGGGATGAAGGCCTAGAAAGATGACAAAAGAGGTCTTCATTAAAAGTAGAGTGGTTTTCATTTAAGTGTTTTGAGGTGGGAGTACTGGCATAAACCATCACAGTGTACGCCATATTGGAGTATATTTATGTTCTGATTTATATTTGAACCTTTCGGGAATCATGACTTTCATGGCAGTTCTCAAAAATCTTTGTCTGCGGATCTGACGGGGAAAGGAATAATAAGCTTCCACCGGTAGGCAGGCAGACAAACAGATGGATGCATTCAGTCAGCAGGTACATAGATGATGCAAATAAATAGTCAGGGGAAGCTAATAATGGATCGAGAATTAGATTAGAGACGGAGTGATTTAAAAAAACGGGATCCTGCTCTATTGGTAATGCCTTCTGTCCACATGTCCTAATTATACCTAAATGCATTGCCCTGCTTCTCCCTTACTCCTGCTCGGTCTCCTGCTACTAACCCCACACAATGCTTGACAATCTTAACAAAGCTTCCCTGAGGCCCCTTATCTAATAGAGCAGTCTCTACAAGACACACACACAGAGACACACACATGCATCGCAGCCAGCAGCGAGTTGAGGGGGAAAGATGAGGGAGTAATGGGACAAAGACAAGTTGTCAGATAAATGAGATAAATTAGACACTGAGTGAGGAACGACGGAGAAAGAGAGAGAGCTATTCTTTTCCAACTCTCCCAGGGTTGTTGCTGTGTGCGAGAGCTCTGGTGGGATCTCATTGTTCTTTTTTGTCCTTGTGTGTGTGTCCGTGTCCATCTGCTGCAAGCCACAGTGTGTTTTATCAGGACTGAGGTCTGGTGCTCGAGCAGAAGGACGCATGTGCAAATATATGCACTTGTGTTTACGAAACACACGAAATCCTGCAAATGCACTCGTGATGGACAGTGTAGCAGATGTTAGTCTTTGTAGGTTTACTGTGAGCATCAGTGTCAAATTTCTTCACTGATTTTTGACATTAAATTCATTTTTTAAGCCTTCATTGATTCAATTTGATGGTTTTTGTCTATGTTAAACCAGGATCAAAGATATATGTCACCCATTGTACATGCGTTGGCATCTTGCCATAGTTACTTTGGGGGGGGGGCTTATATAATGCTGTCATTTATCAGCAGGAGAACAGAGAACTAAAGAGACAGCCAGTTGGAGACCCCAGGCTGCCACAGTGCCCACGCACACAGCATCATGTTTCCACTGCATCACTAGACATTAAATTAGCTTAAATTTGCTTCCTGGAGACGTACTTATTACTGCAAACCCTAAAACTAATCCTTAACCTGGTCTTATCCAGCATCCAACCTTAAAACAAGTCTAGATACTAACATTTGTAAAACTTTACACTGAAGTCACTGTAATAAGCATTAGTTTAATCAGGTTTTCAGATATAAAAATGTCCTATTAGTTAAAACATGTTTCATTAACACCGTCACTAACACATCATATGAAATGTCATATTTTGAGACAATCATACGCACTTAAAGTGTGTAAGAAGTTGTTCCTCATTTCACCATTTCATGCTCTTTTTTTAATGGAACTTTTTGTGTTTTTGTTTAGATTAGCATATGCATGTGCTATAGAGGTATTAGTAGTTAATCACGCTTTTTTAAGCTACTGAATCCAAAGAGCTTACAATACCATATCATGTTAATCTAAAGAGCTTGAAAAGAAATGTGACTGAAGAAGCTTCTCAGTGGCTTTTCCTTCCAAGCTCCTTAGATTACCACAACCTGGATGACGGAGAGTCTACACAAAATCTTATTGGGGTTATTTTACACTTATTGAGAGTGTGAAAGGGGTTTAACACCTATTACCTTAACAAGGACATTGATAGACATTGGAAGCTGGATGTCGGATATCGCCCTGTACTCCAGAGTTGACCGTGTTCCAGTAGCAGCAGTCGGAAAAACAGGCTCTATTCTGCTTCCTAGCAAGGTGGAGCCATTCATCCATCACTATGAATGCCTGGAGTACAACACAGTAGCTCTTATTCCTCATTAAAAAAAAAAAGAAGAAGTAAAAACACAGCTGCAGCACATTAGAGTCTGGTCCGTGCTCTGTGTATGGCTTATTTACTGAATCACAAATACATAACGGGGGTAGTACAGAGCACACGTTTTACACATTTGCTGCTTTTTACGCTTACTTCTTACAGTCTTTAATTTCAAAGTTGAGATTGGTGTGGCTTCACTGGCTTTCCAAGTGTGAAATCTGACCTGAGGGGGCGTTGCAGCTGAAAATTGTGATTCCAACTTCCAAAACGTGAATTATCCTCCTCCTCCACCGTGAGACATTTTCAGCTTCCGGGAGATGGCCAAGCGGGCTGCTCAGGCCAATCACAGCCAGTCTGAAAAGTCAGAAAGTCAAACATTCAGTATATGACAGGCCCTTTTCATCTAAACCCTAATTTGTGTCAGATTCAGAGCTCTGAGCCTCGCCTTTGATGCTACAGTACCGCTCAGGATACAGTCGGCAGGTTTACCCTCATGTGCACTCCACTGAGTGTGTGCCCTCCTGTGAAACCGAAAGGAGACAGAGTTTGGAGGTAAAGAAGAGGGTAGACCTCAGAAAGATGGGCATTTTCGGTAATACCAGGGTTCTCATCATTAGCCTCCCATAAAGACTGATGAGCGTGAGTTGGCATCCTCCTTTCTCCTGTGTGATGAGTCATTAACAGTAAAACATTTTGGAACAGAAAATGAAGCGCACAGCAAGTAGGCCTTGAGCCAAAGACGTCCAGAAAATGGACGGATGAGCTTACAGAGACTGTTAGATTTAAACTTCAAGTCATATTGCGCCATATAAAGCTGACTATAGCTACACTGCAAATGTAAATCCACTTTTGGTTCACAGTGGATTGGTAGTACTTACATTGTCTCACTTCATGTGTTTCTAGTGGAGCTGGATGCAGAGCACGCACAGAGAGTCCCCGGGGCGGAGCAAGGAGGGGGCCTGCCACCCCAGGTGAAGCTGAAAGAGAGGCAGAAGTTCTTTGAGGAGGCCTTTCAGCAGGACATGGAGCAGTACCTGTCTACCGGCTACCTGCAGATTGCTGAGAGGCGAGGTGAGGAGGAGGAGCGGTAAGGTCAGACGTTTTCTGATATTAGTTTAGTTTCCTAGCGCTCCGTCGCCTTTAGCGCAAAAGGAAGATGTTGAGGGTTTCAGGTTTTGGTAGTATTGTGTGCTAATTCTTTAAAGGTGAATGCAAAGGCGTGAATAAATTTCTTTACTATCAGCTGAGACCTTCACACTTTAACCGCATACCATGAGATTGAGTCATAATGGCTTTACGTAGCGAGGAGAGCCTGTCACTTAACACACGAGTAGAGTCATTACATTTTAAATGATGCCACCATGATATATAAACGTACTCTGGGATTGTAACAGAATGCCGCTGCACCTCCATGTATTTGCTGCCAAACGTCTACTGAAATACCCAAAGCATGTGCAGAAACAGCTCCCCGCACTGAGAGATGTTACAGACTCCACTGGCCAGTGTTTGTAATGTGATTTTTCTTCTTCTTTCCCTCATCTGCCCTCCTCCCCACATCACCCTGGAAATGGCTTAGAGAAGCTTGTGGAGAAGTAAGGACGGAGGGAGAGATGGAGCAAAAGGAAAGAGATTTAAGGAGCGTTCACTGAAACTCAAAAGGCTTTTTTATCAGTGTAGTGAGCGGAATAGTCACAGCTCATTATCCGAAGAAGCGTAGCACTGTATTGGCTCTTTTATATTAGTGGTACAAAAAGACTGGACATGTTTATATTTAAAGTGGTTAAAAAAATAAAATAAAAATCATCTGAAACCAACACCTCTCCATGACCAATGAACACACAACTCATAACCCTTAATATAGCTGTAAATCCCTACAGCAGGGCGGCGCTACTGAAGAGCAAAGATACAGCTGGAGACTCCGAGAGCGAAAGGGAGGCTGCAGATGTCATAAGCCGCTGAGCCATCAAAAGCTAGTCCCAAGGGTCTTACACACACACACACACACACACACACACACACACACACACACACACACACACACACACACACACACACACACACACACACACACACTCTCTGCAATCTCACTGCAGGCAGAGACTGTCCTTCCCAGCAGGAGAACCTTTTAGGCAAGGTCACGGTGGTGCTAAAAGAAGAGCATGTTAGAGGCAGTCACATGGAAACGATGCTCTCAACGTGGTGCTTCCTGGACCTAGACTTTCACATAACATAACATCAGCTGTCAGTTGTGTATCCATGTGTGTGTCTTCCCGTTTGTTTGCCTATTTATTACATGGAGGAAACGGAGCTTTAAAAGTGAAACAAAACATCCTTCATGCTATGCTTTACGAGGCCGAAGAGCTACTATGGAGGCGACTGCATAGCTGACAAAGCAGATATGGAAGCGCCTGTCCACCGAGGCCCACTGAGCAGTCTTTAGGCAGAATCAGAGCCTGAAACGTGTCACAGAAAGCACCACTGCTGTCCTCACTGAGCAGAGGAGATAAACGTGTTTGTTTCATTTATTCACTTTCTGTGCGTACGCATCAACAGTCGCTGTGTGTATAAACTTAATGTGCGCGTGCGGACATTCAGGCGAGTTACCCAAGTTGAGGCATCTGAAAAGACGGCGCTCTCCTGTGTCTGTGTGGGATCTTTTTGTGTTTTGTGTTACTATTTAAAGGGCAAGGAGACCTTGGGGCAGTCTCCACGGGAAATAACATTCCCCTTCTGTTTTTTTTTTTCCTCTTTCTTTCCTCTTTTTTTATTCTGCTCTCCCTCCCTGTGCCGCCCTTCTTCTGCTCTCCTCATTTCTTTGAGGTACGGTAGCCAATGGCGTCTTATCTCACTGCTCTGCAACAACCAGTCATGCTGCTTCTTCCTCATGCTCTCACAACCCCGTCCCCTCATCCTCTTAGTGTACCAACTGGCTGTTTACGACGCATGTGGCACATCACGATGTGGTGGGTGGGGAGGGTGGAGAACCCCCTCCACCCTCCCCACCTGTGCAAGGCAGTGAATCCAGGCTTAGCTGTAGTGTAACAGGAGTTTCCAATCAATCTATGTATTGGTGGACTATTAAAACATTAGACCCATTAAACATTCTGATGTGCTGCCTTGCTGTCAACAACCACACATTTGTGCTTTCATATATAATAAGAACGGCAGCAATCGGAAAGAAGCGCCTCAGGAAATCAGATTTCTCAAGTTTGTCAGCTATCTCTTTAAATCTCTTTCACATGCTTTAAATCACGATGTCTATTTTTAACTTTAAAGCAATATTCAGGCATTTCAGAAGTACTCTTAGCCTTCACGGGAAGAATGTTGTTACTTCAGTTAACGATGCCTGCAAATTCAATATGCTGAATTTCCAGGTATTTCCTGTAGGCATGCTTTTGATGTTAAGGTAAACCAAATATGGTTTGTATGCATTATATACAAGCTTATCCACTTTGAATGCCATCCAGCTTGAACATGCCCATTTGCTTCTGCAAGAAAAAAACAATCCCACTGTTGCTGGACTCAGCCCGTGCTGCCGCGTTCTGCTGCAGTGTTCGCTAATACCTCATTTACCTTTTGCTGTGTACAGAACCAATAGGCAGCATGTCATCCATGGAGGTGAATGTGGACATGCTGGAGCAGATGGATTTGATGGACATGTCTGACCACGAGGCTCTGGATGTGTTTTTGCACTCTGGAGGAGAGGACAACAGCGCTGCCTCGCCTGTTGCAGGTCGGAAGCCGTGCACACAAAGAATGGCTGTAGCCTGAAGTAAACAGACTGGTTATTGTTATACTGGCTTTTGATTCAGTGCATAAAACTCACTTAATCTTAGCGATAGCGTTCTCAAACTGTGCATTAAAGTACCACCCGGGTTCATCTACAACAAATCACATATCTGCATTTGTATTTGAGACTACGTGGACTGATGTCAGATATATGTTCCCTCATAAAAGCACAGTCCAGATGTTCAACTGTCAGTTGTTTTACCCTAAAAGGACATGAGATATACACTCACTTGAAGATTTATTAGGTACACCTGCTGGTAATGGGTTGGACCCCGTTTGCCTTCAGAGCTGCCTTAACTCTCCGCTGCACAGATTCAGCAAGGTCCTGGAAACATTTCTGGTGTTGTCTTCTGATACCGTAGCCCATCTTCAAGTTTATTATTATTTGAATTACTGTTTCCTTCCTATCAGCTTGAAACAATCCTGACCTCTGCCATCACCAAAGTAGATCAACAACATATTTTCACCCAGAGAACTGCTGCTCACTGGATATTTCCTATTTTTCAGACAATCCTCTCTAAACCCTAGAGATGGTTATTTCAGAAAATCCCAGTAGATCAGCAGTTTGTGAAACACTCAGACCAGCCCATCTGGCACCAACAACCAAAGTAACTTAAATCACATCTCAGGGGAAACTGGCATCATGGATTTGCAGCCAACAAATTTGCAGCACCTGTGTGATGCCACCATGTCAATATGGACCAAAATCTCAGAGGAATGTTTCCAGCGCCTCGTTGAATCTGTGCTACGAAGAATTTAAAGCATTTCTGAAAGTAAAAGGGGGTCCAACCCTTTGTCAGGTACAAGGTGAGTGCAATTTCCCACTGATCGTCCATCCATTCACTTCCGCTCATCCCAGCTATTGTAGGGCAAGAGGCAGGGTGCACCCTGGACAGGTCGCCAGCCTGTGATTCATAAAATTCACTGAAGCAGAAATCTGACAAGCACACCACATGATGTAACACACGATGCACCATCAGCATCTGTCCAGATCTGCTGAGGAAACATATTGTTGCAGTCAGTAATCTTTAGCATCTGAGTTCCTCTTCGTCTGATGCTACACTTTCTGTTTACAGTCGATCAGTCCGTTGCAAGTTTGAACTAAAGCTGTGAAGTCATTCCAAAGAAACGAGAGCAGTTGCCTCATTTTATCTGCAGCAGCCCTCGGCCTGAGACAGCAAGTAAATAATAAATAACCATAAATAATAGAATTATTTGGGTTATTTAAGGGAAGTGGGTCCAGTTACGCACAGACTCAGAGACATAGTTATTGTCTGTCCTCCTGCCACCCTATCAAAGTCAACTATTTAATTTCTGTTTATTTAACTGTTATTTAAACTAAGAAGTTCATAAAAATTAAGAACAATTTTTTTAGTTCAAAGTGTGAAGTTACCCACTTCCCCCCTCCTGTCTTTCAGGTCCAGACGTCGAGTCCTTCACCACAGAGATCAGCCTCCAAGTTCCCACCCAGGCTGAGCTACGACACAAGCTCTCTTCATTATCATCCACCTGCACTGACTCCGCCAGCCAGGACACAGAGGCCGGGGAGGAGGACGAGGAGGAAGAGGAGGAGGAGAGTGAGCAAGGAGGAGGAGGGGGTGTTGGGGGATCAGGAGGAGGAGGAGGAGGAAGGCGGAGAAGACCCCCTGTGGTAGTGACCCTGGATGAAGAAGAGGTGCACCCTGACACGGTGCTGGTGGACAGGGCGGAGCGCGAAGATCAGACCAGCAAAGACTGTGAGGAAAGCAGGCCAGAGGTTTGAGGAGAGGCGGAGTGAGACACAAGCACCCAACAGCTGCCAAATCAAACTCAGAACCATATTGGCTTTGTTCTTAATATTCCTCTCATATGTCAGAGAAACATATGATAGAAAGTGCAACCTCAGTGCACTAACTGCCACATGACCTTACCTTGAGAGACGCCAGTTTTCAATTCTAATTGATCTTATAAAACTGTTTGTTTTATTTTTCCTTTTCAGCATAACGTCATCGAACGGCTGAGCGGTTCTCCTGTTTCTTTGTTTCTCCTGCTGTATGTCGAGGCCTGTTACTGATTAACGACTGAGTAATGAGGACATAGAAACACACTAAAAATCACCCACACGACCCTTCTGCTATGCTCCATCCTTCACTGCGCTTATAGACTGCAGCGGTCATGTGTTTCCCATTATTGCTTGTGTTGGAGATTAAGCGTGGAGCCTAAAGTACCACAATTGGCCAAAATAAAGAAGCTAGCTTTTAAAATCTAACTGCAGGTCAGAAATGTGAAGTCAGTTTTTAATCTGTAAAAGAAATGTTGCCATGCAAATTCACCCGCCAAAGATTTTATACTTTATAAAATCCACGTGTGTAAAACCACGGGGATAGCTTTGGTTCTGTTTGCACAGGTTTTCTCCTGTATGTGCTCTATGAAACTGTTCTAGGGGTTAAAGCTCTGAAATGAGACTTTCAATTGTGCAATTTCTCTTCCACAATTCATTTTAGTGCAACAAATGCAAAGATGCACTACTCAAAGAAATGAAGGGAACACTCGATCATCACTTGGTATGACACAAAGTCATTTAAACCTCAGCATATCAGTCTTTCCTTTCATTTGAAGCAATGCTGCAAGTGAGTTTTTCTCCAGTCCAGCTCCTCTAGGACTGCAAAATGACCTCCAGCTGAGCTACTCGTGCATGTTTCTCACCAAACTGTCAGAAACAAACTCCACGAGGGCCCGATGTGCTTCAGTGCAGAGCCCGGCACCGTGCAGCTCAAGTATATCCGCCTGAGATCTGCCATCCTGGAGGAGCCGGACTGCTTGTGCAACCTGAACAGGCTGGAGGTACGATCCTCATGCTAGCAGCTGTGATAAGGAGTAAAAAGACAAACTAGAGGATTAGGAGGGATAAGGAGAGAGGATTTTTGTGGTGGTAGTCTTGTTGTTGCCTCTCTGGTAAACCCGTTATCACTATGATTTGCACCAAAGCAGCTGAAATGGATTCACAAGGCTTTCTGCTTCCTAGCTGGACAGACTTATATCACTGAAGTTCAACCGACTATGATGCTCGAGCGTTCCCTTAATGTTTTCTTTGAGCAGTGTACTTATTGATTGCTTTTTTCTGAAGAAAAAGGATGAATATTTTATCACTTTCTGAAACTAAAAAGCCAAAAGCATTTCTTTCACTGTTTTTAAAGTCTTCTAGATCACGTCGGATGTAAACTAGTTCAAAATGGTTTTGTGCCATTACCCAGTAGAAACAAAGCTTAATAGCAGGCAGGCACCTGACAGTGGTTTCTGAAACACATTGTATAGCAGACATGTGGGTGGAGATCGGGTACAATGATAACAATGACTTACCACACACACACACACACACACACACACACACGACAGTTAACCTTTGCCATTCCTTTGATATGTGATCTCTGGGTGAACTACTTCTGTTGAACGAGGACCAAATCCCTGCTGTGGACAGTGTGCTATGCACCGGACAATGTCCAGAAGACTGTACTGCATCCAGACCTCTGTGTCTGCAGTTGTTGACATTTGCCTAAAATTTCTGACTTGTTGCTAATAAACATTTGTCTCCCGGCATTGTTTAATTTTCATCCGAGTTACAGCAGTAAGAAAAGAAAAGTAAGAAGTCTTGTTTTATAGTCCTACCATTTAACAATGGAAAACTAACACAGTAAGAGAATAGACAGAGCGTTATTAATAAGGGGAGAAAGGATAATTAAATATTTTATTTTGTGTGAGTTGAATTTCTGTGTATATTCATTGTTTAAAAAAAAAAAAAAAAAAGGTAACTGGAAATTAGGGGAAAGCAATACAAGAGCTCAAAATGACTTTGAGGCTAAAAATGAATGCCTTGGTTTATTGTGAACAGTAGAGAGTCTGTGTCGATACACAACAGTGCGCTTTAACAGGTAACTGTGATGCTCATTTTGAGCCCCATGCAGAGCGTCCATGTGACAGAGGAGGATGCTAGTGATAGGGTGAGGTGGAGGCAGTTGGTGCGCTGTGGTGACCAAAAGGGAGTAGATGAGAGGAGCAGGATTCTGCTGGGAAAGCTTGCAATATGATTCACAGTTCAGAATAATCCTCCTTTCTCTCATACAGGGCCCGATCATGTGCCTGAAACTAGCTTTATCTGATTGGCTGCATGCCACAAACAAAGTCTGGACGGGGGTGTTGAGATGACCATCATACAGAGTAAAGACTGAAACTAAAAAAAATTTAAGTGGCGAAAACAAGTTTCCATTAAAAAAAAATAATTTTCCCTCAGAATTTAAAACAAACACTGCACATAAAGTTCAGTTTAACTTACTGAACCAAAAACCTGAAAAAATTAAGATGATTTAAAAATATTAAAATTTAATTGATTTTCTGTCAATTACCAATAACTGAATAAGTTTTAGGTCACGCTCCTGGGTAGATACTCCCAGAGGTAAGTGAGAAAAGACTGAGGTTATTTCAACATGCCATCGTCCATCCCAGGTTCATGGGGAGGTTGGAGCCCATCCCTGTTGTAATGGGGTTCGAGGTGGAATATACGCTGGACCGACTGCCAGTCCGTCGCAGGGCTAATGAGTCTCCACATCCCTAAAATATCCATCTAATGTTACAACTCTCTGAACTGTGAATTATGACGCAGTTTGGAGAGTTTCTCCTCGCCATCCAGTCGGAAATCAGCACACCAAGAGACACACGAGCAGGTTGGAAAGAAATGACAGTGAATTGTCAGTAAGTTTTTATTAAACCTTAAGTACAAACTGCAAAAGTAAAAAACAGTCAATTTAACCAACATGAGACTCTCTTTCCGAATGAAGGGAAAGGCAGAGTTACCAAATAAATTAAGTCACCAAAGACCCCACTGTGAGCAAAGTAGTTTATACTGTAGAAAAGGAAGGAAAAAAAACAAAGAAAAAAAAATAACTGAAGGACAAACAAAGAAAATCCCATCTGAATAAAATATATTGTAAGGCCATAAAAACTTGACAACCACTTTTTTTTTTTAAATGTTGAAAACACCCGACTTGGTATGTCATTAAATAGTCCTAAAACAGTTCAGTCTTCTGCAAGGGACAACAACCAACAAACTGGATTATAGGATTTTTTTTCCTTGACAGTCACCACTGGCAAGCTCAGTGCAACATGAGTAGCTACTACATTTTTGTTGAATTTTCAGTAATGAAAATGTAAAAACCCATTTTTTTGTGTGAACATATCAATTTTTTCCCTTTTCTTTAAAAAAGTAAAGCTAAACAAACAAAACTAGATCAGGAGGCCAGGGAGGAGGCGGGGCAGGTAAAGGGGGGCGGGGCAGTCGTTGGCTACTCGATATCTTCTTTCTTAGCGATATAAGCAGCACTTAAAATTTTTATACACATTTACCAGAGCAACCCTGTAAGCGTCAAACTCACATGGATGAAGAAAGGGAAAAACGTAAGGCTTTTTCTTCATCGACCACTCTCCTCTGAAACACTTTCTCTCTTTCTCTGGTCCTTCCTTTCTTTCTTACTCAACCCCAGAAAAAAAGGCTCAAGTATTTAAAGAAATTTACAGGATTATGTACAAAAAAAAAGTTGATGTTTGTTTGCGTTGGGCTTTTTCTCCGCTCTTAAAAAAAGAAAAAAAAAAATCACTAATATATCTGGAAAGGGGAAAAAATAAAAAAAATAAAAAAAGACAGTAGAAGAAAGAAAAACTTGGATTTGATATTTCACATTTTACACTCTTTGACTAGTGGCTCTACTTGAGATAACACATTAGATCAACAAAGCTTAAAAAAACCCCAAATAATAATAATAATAATATAATATAATATTAATGTTTACTGGTACAGATGAAACAAGAGGACTGGAAGAATGGAATGTTAACACGATTGCACATCTAGAACCAGAAAAGCCCGACGAGCCTTTCTGCCCTGTGGGGGTCGGGGGGTGCGTGAGCTAGCAGAGTGAACCAATAGCAGGCGCCAACCCCCAGATTTTTTTTCCTCCTTTAAAAAGAATTTTGTGTTGTTATACAGTAATTATAACCAACAGCACCAATAAAATGGATCTCCTTGCTAAGTATCAGGCACCATTTCCACTTGCTAGTGAAGAAGGGATCCCTCCATACTACAAGGAAGTGAGGTGACCTTTTCACAGGTCAAGCAGCTGCAGCTCTGCCCCTCTCACGTCTGCCGACGAACAGAAAACAAAAAAGAAAACGTCCACAATGATGACAAAAATAAAAAATATACACAGAAAATTTCTCACGACAAAACAAAACTATCGAAAAAAGAAAGCTAAGATTCATAAACTGAACTTGGGGGAAAAAAACAAAAACAAATTGTAGCCAACCAACAGTAAACCAACATCATCTGTCTTTCAAGTTTTTTTTACCTTGCATCTCCAACCCACATTTCATTAAAAAAAAGAAAGAAAAAATAGGCAGGAACTGCATCAAGAATACATTAAAAGTGATTCCTCTTCCTCAAATAAAGGACAGAGAGAAACTTTGGGCAACTACTTGATGTCATTTTCATTTCACAAAATCATGGGAGGGAGGGAGCGGTGGTGAGTGGGGGGAAGGCCGCCTTTTCATTCCTCCTGTGTTCACAGTTGAGGGACATGTGATGTATCAGTATCATGGGTGAGAGGAGGGCAGGAAAGAGTGATGCAAGAAAAAGGTAATTATTGTAACCTCCTATCAGCTGAGGAAGGGTGGAGGTGGAGCTAAAGGGTAAAATGAGGCCTGTCAAGTCTGTGAACATTATACTTAATGCTTTCAATATTGACTCGGAGAGAGAGAGGTGTGTGTGTTCTAAAATCATCCAAAATAAAAACAAATTCTTCTTTCACACTAGTGCAAAAAAGACATCTTGCTTTTCTCTTTTTAGTTCCTTTTCCTTATAACAAGCCTGTCATTACTAAAGGAGAGGAGAATCTCTTGCTTATTAAAGAGATGGAGACTGAGGTCAGGCAAGGGGGGTCTTCAAAGCTCAAAAACAATCTCTAACATCGGGCGGTGAAGAAGGAGCGGTTTGATAGTGATCCTGCTTACTGTGGAAAAACAAAAACACAGGGATTCAGAGAAGTGTAGGGGGTGTGGTGGGATGTGGGCACAGCACACATGGGTGGCAATGTTGAGGCGTCCCGCCTCAGGACACGGCAGCGGCCTTGGGCATGTGGCTGGACGACAGGCGGGCCAGGGACACCTCTACGGTGGCGCGTTTTCGGGGTCCTCGCTTGGCTGGCGATGCTTTGGCAGGGCTTAAGCCGTGGCAGGGGTCCCCTCCTCCGCCACTAACAATGACTCCTCCAGCGTCGATGCTTCCTCCGTTCTTCAACATGGCTCGTCCGCACACCTGGCTCACCAAACTGTTGATTTGCTCCTGTGTGGCAAAAGGAAGCAGAAAAAAGTGAGAAAAAAGGTGGTAATGAAGCAAATGCACACAAATCAAGAGCAGAAGGTAAAATGGAATATGGCAAAGTACAGGTGTGTCTACTGTTAAAAAAACATAAATAAAAATTTGAAAGTCTGATTACACCACAGGTACAACTCAGTATAAACATTTTCAGTAGCGGTGTGAAAAGCTAGCTGATGTCTCCCCCATCTGGACAGAGGGAGAATGGAAGCATAGCAGACCCACACAATGGTAGCTTACCTCATCATATCGATACATCATCTTAAGGCCTCTGCAGGATTTGTGCTTCTCCACATAGCGCAGGGCACACTCCAGACAAAAGACCACATTGTCAGTCTCCCGAACCACCTAAACGGGAAAAAAAGGCTTTTAGTAAAACAAAGAATTTATTTTCTTAGTGAAAAAGTGGAAATATTGATAAATCTCTATAATGTCTCATACTCATCATGCTTATACTGTTATCTCAGTAGTATTAAGTATGTATAGTAAGTTACCTTTAACTTACAGAGCATACTGCAGGAATAATATGTACAAACTGAAAAAAAACAAAACAAAAACAACAACTCCTAGCGCCAATTCACAACAACAGTTGCCTCAAGGCGCTTCGTGCTGGACCCCACAATACTATAGAGAAAACCCCAACAATCAGATGATCCCGTTTGAGCAGCACTTGGCGACGGTGGGAAGGAACAACTCCCTTTTAACAGGAAGAGACCTCTGGCGCAACCAGGCTCAAGGAGGGGCAGCCACCTACCGCGACTGGTTGGGGGTTAGGGGAAAGAAGAGAAAGGAGAGCACAGAGAGACCATGGAAAATGCACAAGCTACGGGAGAGAGTAGACAAAGGTTAATTAATATGCAAAATTGGCAAACAAATTCATCAGGATTGAAAAAGAGGTCATTGGAAAACAAGTGCATTATGGTCCCTCAGCAGCTTTTAGCAGCATAACTAAGTGATGCTTCAGGATCATCCAATCTGATACTGGACACTTTATGAACCACAGGTAGAGTCGAACTTAAACTCTGGATTTAGAGGGGCACCAATGAAGAGAAGCCAGGATTGGAGAAATACACTCTCTCTTTCCAGTCCCTGTGAGTAGCTTTGCTGTGGCATTTAGAATCACCTAAAGGCTTTTAAGGGAGCTTCTAGAAAAGTCCAATAATAGATGTGTGTTTAATGTGCGAATTAAACGATATATCCCAGTTTAAAAAAAATTAGTCCAAGATTCTTCTGTGTTTTTGGAAACCAAGGTAATGCCATCTAAAGTAACTTCATGTCTATAAGAGATTTTAAGGTCAAATACAATAACCTCAGTTTTTTCTTAAGTAGAAATTAAGAAATTACCAAATCTTTTTGAATCATCTGGCTTCATAGATGGATATGACTTGGTATCATCTGCATAACAACAAAAATGTATGCAGTGTTTTCTAATAATACAACCTAAGGGAACCACATATAACGTAAAAAACAAAAAAATTTAAAAAAGAAAAAAAAGTATTGGGCCCAGGACAGAACCTTGTGGAACTCCATGAATAACTTCAGTGTACGACGAAAACTCCCCATGTACATGCACAAATTGGGATCTATCAGATATGATTCGATTGATCGATGGGGTCTAACAGACATGTTGATGTTTACTTGAAGTAATTAGTTCAGTGAGATCAATTGGCAAGAAGCCCTCTAAATATCAGACATCTGACATTTTTCAATAATGGTAAAAATTGTATTTGAAAGGAAATTCGTGAAGTCATTATTACTGATAGCTAACAGAACTGAAAAACTGATTAGCCTGACTAGTGCTGAGAAGAAACATGGGGTTGTTCCTGTTTTTGTCTTATCAGTGACAAACAGCATGATGGCCTAGCTTTTTTTCATAAGGTATCAAGCTATTTTTCCAGGCCAGATGACAGTCTTCTAAATTAGCGGATCCCTAATTTCCACCATCTGTGTGAACTGTACCAGGGAGTCACACATTAAGATTAAGATATCCTTTTTCGTATCCTCTGTATAGACATCTACTGTATAGAAATGTTTTCCAGAGCGCTGTAGTTCATATTTTAAACAAAAGAGGTTTTTTGAGAAATACATTAAATGCTCAGTTCCTATGCAATATGTCGAGACAAGATCAAGAATGTGATCAAAATATTGAGTTGAGGGTAGTAATGAATTAAACACAGTGTTGAAGTTGTTGTTTTCATCATCTACAAGCATAAATC